ATCTGACTTAGAGTACCTAGTTTAGACTTAGTTTTGTTTAGTCTGAACTAGCTTAGTGAACTTCTCATATTTTTTAAATAGTTTAGTTTTTTAACTAATAATGTACAATAATGAGTTAATTGCTTTGTGAAAGTTTGTAAAATATTTAGGTATTTTTCAATATCTCAATAAAGACATACCATTGCAGCATGATTGCAAGTTAAAAAAAAATAAATAATAAATCTCAAGTTTCCTCTAAACTTATCTTTCCATATTATTCAAAAAGATATTTACAAAAAATCATATATTAGATAGGATATAAAAGAAACAAAACCAGAATAATAGATAAGAATCACAATATAAAAGTATTAAAAACAGTAAAAGAACAAGTATTACTTACTGTATATCTTGAATTGATAAAACTTTTGAAAGTAAAGTAATAGTAGTAACATATAGTTATTTATAATCAAATCAATTTTTTTTCTAGCACCTTTATTCCTATTTAAGCTTGTATAGTATTGTTCTTATTTATAATTTTGTTAAGTTGAGTAGTATGGAAGGATATTATATATAACAAGTCAAAATAGTTTAAGACTCGATACACAACCTTGAAAGGTGATATACAATCTTTTGAACAACAACTTTTTTCTTACATATTTGAAATTTATTTCAATGTTAGTGGGTTTCCTACACTAGTTCTCTTGTTCTTTTAGAAAGTGACCTAACCACAAGGTGGAATGCTCCTTACAGGAGATCTATTGTTTACTTTATTTGACAAGAATTTTCGAATATACAGGTTTTGGATTTTTTCTATTCTGTCATTTCATAAATTATTATAATTAAATTATTAATATTGAAAACAAATGATGATTTTTATTTTTTAATCGCAAAAATTGAAAATTATGTTTGAGTCTAATATCAAATTTTTTAATTTTTAATTAAAAAAAAAAAAACGCCAAATTCAATCTCGCGCAATTATCTCTTTGCAACAAAAAATTCTTCGCTCAATATGTAAGCAAAAATTACATTAAAATATATTACAGGAATGAATTTGCAAGACTAATAATAGGCTTCATATAAATAAATATGCACGTATTTTTTTTTTTAAGAGAAAAAAATAAAGAAATCGCCTTATCGTTCATTGTCCCTCTTGTAACTATCTTGAGATTCGTATCTGTCACCATAGTTGTTCTGTGAATAGCCATTACGCGCATAATAATTATTAATAGTACCGCGACCGAATCCTCGGGTGTTACCGCGGGCACTAACATTGTATGGATAGGCCCCGCGTGCATGGTGATGGTATCGAGATGAATTTTCATAATAATTATTAGAATGATACCTAGAATCATCGCGATTTTCATACGAACTGCCAGAATTATATTGATAGCCGTAATAGTCTCTATTGTCATATGATCCATATCGGTTTTCTCTTTCATAGGCAGATGTATATTGGTATCCAGGCAGGTCACGGACGTTGTGATATGAATGACCTCTCGAAGGACTATTATTATAACCTCTACCCCTACCACGACCACGACCATTTCTAATTAGATCATGATCTTCTCGCCCTAGCACTGGTGGATCTAATTTTGCATTTTTTAAGAGAACAGACTTATGCATACTGCCATTTGCTTTCTTTGGAAGCGAAAACAAAACACTAGAAAAAAAAAAACGGCAGGTAAAATAGGGTTATTGATGATAATAAGCGTATTGTATGAGCATCACGTGTTTTACCTTAATGATCGATCGTTGACAATGTCAGGCAGATTCCTTTCCGGTAAAGGTGAATAAAATGTGCTTTCTGGTATACAATTAGGATCACGAGCGACAAATCCTATTAGTTTGTCACTAATTGTTGGATTCAAAGGAATAGGCTAGATTTAAACAAATAAATATTATTTACTTCAACTTAACATAAATTTATTTTCAAAATATTCTAAATGTAAATTTACTTCGTCATTTTTCCTTTTCGAGTATAAGGCACATAATTCATCGTATAATCTATGTTTGTTACTGAGGCATAGAACATCGGAACCCAAGGTATTTCTAAAATCTTCCTCGGAAGAGAGAAACGGATAAACGGTATTCACAGCTTTTAACAACCGGAATTCTTCAATGAACGGGAGTAACGCGACACCTTCAAGTATATAGTTATGATTTACAATTAATGATCAATTATTATTTGCAAAATGAAGCCTAAATTATTTTCACCCATCATTACCTTGCCAATCATATTTTTTTCCATTTAAGTCGATTCTGAAATTGGATGGATAAAAATCAATTATTTCACTGTCTTCATGGGTCATCAGTCTCCAGAATGGTTCCGGTAGGTGATCCTTGCTAATAAATTTGATGTTTTATATATTTATAAGAGTAGCTTTAAAATTTTCAAATTCCAGTAAACGCCAAAATAATTTTACCTTTCGGCAGGTAATACACCCATCAACTGTTCGAAAGGTTTAAATGGTTCACCTAAGTCAAAACAAATTTGAATATCTCCAATATTGATGAAATCTGAGGCGAAAGGCGAATAATGGTAGGGGTAGTACCATTTCCAAGATGGAACACCCTAATATATAAATTTAAGTATGTTGTGTGTACAAAATCAAATAAAAATATTGCGATAATACCTGAAAATAATATAGCAAGACCCAACAGAGCCCTTCAATGTAACTCTTGACCAAACTGAAGGCGAAGACAAAGAATAAAGTTTAATGTGTTTTTTAGGGAGAAAAATATCTTGAGTACACAAATACTCACTCTGCACGGAAACTCTCATTGGGCAAATCAATGTCGAATTTATCCTTATAATATCTCTCCTTAAAACCCGGTTCCCATAGCCTGATATTGAAAATAACAATTATAAGTATTGATAAAGTATATATGAAAAAGAAAGATAACAAACCTAATGGGATCTTCTGTTGTGTAGGGCTGGATCGCCGAACCAGATGATTCTTCTGTTTCCTCTTCATCTTCAACTCCGGAAGAACTTTGGGCACTGTCTACTTGATCTTCGGACTTTCTTTTTTTACCCGCCAAGCTGGATGAACTCGATTGACTCAATTCTTGCTCTTTCTCGGTGTGTGAATCCTTTAAAACAGTTATTTGCTTTTGAGATACGGTCGAAACCCCAGTGGATGCCGAGTCGTAATTCGATCCATTTAATTCAGCTCTCAACTTTCGAGCGGCACTCAAGTTAGCCATACGCAGAGTTTGTCTATTGGAGACAACTTCCTCATTTGATCTCGAACGAACCTCCGAGTCAACCCCCTTAACAGGAAGGAGCTGCATACCAACTGGCAAATGAGGGAGCTCAGAAGCGTTCGATGCGTTAACATCTTTTGCATCATTTATCTTCCGCCGTTTATATGCAGGCTGTGTCGAACGTTTTTGGTCGTCTGTGCGAAAAAAAAGCATTTATGAAATTAATCATTTTTTATTCGTCCTCCATACGGTTCTAAATTAGAAAAACTTACTATTGTGTCTACGAATAAATATCTCGTCTTCCATCTTGCCAAGTTCGGTGACTAGATACTGTACCCGCTTTAAGTCCACCTAATTGGGAAAAGAAAAATATTTTTTTTCCATTTTTTTCAATAGCATATACAATTATAATAATAATAAAATTGCAAACATACATCTCCACTATTGGTCATGTACCCCCCCATTAAAGGTAAACAGCGCTTCCATATGGAAATCAACGTGTCGATTGCACCTTCTCTTATCTCCAAAGAAGGTAAATGTGGTAAAAAGTCGTTTCCAACGAAAAAACAAAGGAAAATCCAATCATCAATAGCATTCTCGAGATTAAAAGGCCAGTTTACAGAAGAAACCTTGAGCTCAACCTCAAGGTACTCGCGAAGAATTGATACATTTAAAAAAACGAAAGGTTTGATCATGGTTTTATCATTGGATGTTGTCTGAGTCGGTCCAGAGTAGCCTATTTTACGATAAAACCACATTAGCTAAACACGTCCCACTGGAAAGTCAATCAGATTAATCAATACTTGCAAAAATTACCTCGACATTGCGCCGCTTGATGACCAAATTGCCCACAGACCAAACATCCTCTAAATGTACCATCATTAAAGAAGACGTCTTCACGCAAAACCTTGAAATGAGGCTCGTGAGTACCAAGAGAAAGCATTATCAAGTCTGCATCCTAGAGTTTATAACAGATCAATAGTTGAATAAATAGATGTAGAAATAAAATAATACAATTAATCAAACAACTAACCAAGCCGTATAACACATGTCGGGTATTAGGATCGTGATAGGGACTGGATCGCTGCGATCGAATGAAATCCATCACTTTGTGTTCACCTTCGCCGGGAACACTTGCGTCGGAAAGAATAACTTTCAACTATAACATAATAGCGATTTAGTTTTAAAACTGACTAAAATAAAGGAAGTCGCATAGTAGTGTGGCATACATTTTTCCAACCCGGATCCGAATTAAGTTTATCTGCGATCCAATATCGTAAACATTTCGCCAGGTTGGCCATAAATGGAGTGCCTAAACCAACACAAGACCATTAAGCTCTGAGAAATGAAACGGTTTGCTGAATAACGACCATATCACTTTATGTTAAAATTACCTGGTGTTATGCAATTTGTGTCAAAACCTTTTTTTTGGAGTTCCGTGTCTACCGTGACGCCTGACTCTGTCATTGTTCACATCAGAAAAAGTGAAAAAAAGTCGCTTCGTGTGTAAAATAAAATATAGTTTAATTACCCTCTAATTTTTCAATTTCTTTCGATTTTTCTTCTAATTTGTTGTTGTCATCACGCGCCTTTCGGAAACGGCGAGATCTTTGTTGGTTCATTTTTGCACGAGGAGCTACACCATCTTCGGGGAGAAACCATATGATTAGATAACGCTGATAATCCTCTTTAACATAATGCAATGTTATCGTTTGAATCACAAAAACATACCAATAGCTAAATATAATATTTTTCTAGGGCGCACCATTGCCACAATTCTCTCAATATATTTGAATATTTCAATCATCATGTCGTCTTCGGTTTCGGGTGCTTTCTATATGAAAAGATGTTATGAACCAGATCGCCTCAATGAAACTTTGCCAATCGAAATGCAAACCTTGTTCTCCGGATTACAGCAAGGATGTATAATTCCGTTCATGTCTAAATAAAGATTATCAAACTCCATTCCATTTGGATTAGGCTTTGAAATATCTACAGGGATCTCAACACCATTAATGTTCGCCGGAGATTCCTCGATAACCTTTTCGATAATCTTCGGATATTTTTTGGAAAGCCATCTATACAACAAAAATTCATTTAGATCTTAAGGATTTGCTGAGCATAGACAACGCAAGCCTACCTGAAAAGAGCTGGAACACCCATCGTTCAATTGTTTTGAATTATTGCACTTGAAACAATTAATTATATATGTATATATATATATATATATGACGAGCCAATCAGAGGAGCTATAAATTCTAATACGTAATCAAATTTCATCCAAAAATGTCTTTTAATTATTCGCGATCGATAATAAAGAATTCACGCATTCAATGTGTTTTGCGCCTTCTTAACAGTAAAACTCGAACTAAATATCATATTCAACGAAGCTATAGTACGACTATAAACTCGGAACAAAACACGTCAGAAAAAAGACGGAATATAAAAACGGAACGGTGAGTTGTATAAAAGAGGCCGATATCATATTATGCATAGTGCTTATCATTAATTTCCTCTCCTTAAAGTACTTCTTCGTCAACTCCCTCAGAAATACTCCGGGCTTCATTACAATTTGTACCCCAGTATGGTTGGTCAACAGAATCATTATCACGTGGCGCAAATTCACTCGGATTTCCTTCTGTTAGTCACGGCTTATTCCCCAGAGGCGGTTTCGATTTGATCGATTACTTTTTGGAAGATTCCAGAAGGAAGATGGTATCCGGATTGACTAATAAGATGGATGGGTGATTATTATTATATATTATTATGAATATTTAATCAAAACTACAACACTTATCTGGATGACGGTTTTCTAGTCTACGAGTACCACAAAAGATAATGTTGGCATGTGAAACTAGGTTAAACTTTACAAAACCTTATATTAAAAAATGGCCAGAGGTAGAAAAGGAAAAAAAACAATTTCTTTTTTTTTTTCATTAATACTACTTTCTATTCGTTTTGTAGGCACTTGCGATAATGGCACAACCCAATTATGCGCTGATCTCGGTTGAACACCTTGCAAAGTTAGTCGATGACATGTGGTTCTTGGCCGGCGATAAAAGTGCTGATGTAGGGGATCCTTTAACAAAGTAATGTTAATTTGGCAATGTCTTATATAATATATTTATTTAACACTTGACAGATGAACTGGTATACAAAAAGAGGAAGTCTTGCTGCCATATACAGCTCCACAGGTAAAGCATTGACTCAAACCTTTATTTTATGCTATTTGTTTTGTTCACGATAATCAAACAAAATTGGTTTGGATTGTTTAGAGTTATATATGACTCAGGACCTATCACCAGACTACAGTGGGACACTTCAATTTCTAAACCGAAGATTACAAGATGTTGCGACCTTTGGTAAAGTGGTTAACGATATCAATACTTTTGTTGAATTCACTGCCAGGTCGTTTATAGGGATACTCGACTCGGTAGGAGTTTTTTCTTTATCTATTCCTTTTTCTTTTATTTATTTATTTTTACCTCTGATTGAATGGTTACATTATCTTATTCACAACATTCTTTCGTCTTTAGAAGGGAATAGGTAGATCTAGCAAATGAAATGGTAAAACATGTACCTAACAAAGAGATCAATAAAATTATATCAACGTTTTTCATTTTTAAAAAGTTGCTTTGGATTATTAGAAAATTAAGTATCATCAATTAAGTGAATTTTTTGAAAAAGAATTACTTATGAATTCATATTTTAAGTGAAATTTTAAATCATGTAAGAAAATGGCTTTATCATTCAATACCATGAAAAAAAATTTTTTTCCTAATTCTTTAATTATATTTTCAAAAGATATTTATTACAAAAAAATTATTTTTTATTTTTTTTAACCAGTTCAACACTAGTCAAAATTATTCATTTGGCTGAATTTAATTAAATTTAATAATAAAAATATTGTTGAATTCTTTTCAATTGTTGCCACTTGGCATATTACTATTTTGGCAATAAAGTAGCAATCAAAAATTCATCAAATCAAAAATTTTGTAATCAAAAAAATTTGGCAATAAAAAAATTTGGCAATAAAAAATTCATCAATTAAAGTTTAACAATAATTATTAAAAAATTTATTAATAATTTATCAAATAATTCATTAACTATTCAGAAAAAATTCATTAAAAGTTTGTCACAAGATTATTTATTAGCAATTTAATAATTTAGCAATTATTTATCAAAACTATTTATTAAAAATTTGTCAAATTATTTATCAAAACTATTTATTAAAAGTTTATTGACCATTCTTTAAAAATTCGGTAATGATTTATCTATTATTTAACAAAAATTTATAAAACTTATGAAAAAATAATTTATATTTATAAATTATTTAATATTATTTATATAATAATATATAATTAATTAAATTATAATAATATACAGTAAATTATATATTACAGTATATATTATATTATAGTTTGTATTATTCAGAATTTATAAATATAACTTTAATTCAAAAAAATTTGTATATAAGTTTATTAATTTTTTTATTTTATTACTGATGAATAGTTAATAAATTTTTAATAAATAGTTAATAAGCTTTTAATAAATAGTTTTGATAAATAGTTGTCGAATTTTTAATAAATTTTTAATAATAGTTAATGAATTTTTAATAAATAGTTTGATGAATAGTTGCTGAATTCTTAATGAATAGTTAATAAATTTTTTATGAATTATTAATAAATTAATGTTGAATTTTTTATTGAATTGCCAATAAATAATTTTATAACAAACTTTTAATAAATTTTTGCTGAATAGTTAATGAATTATTTGATAAATTATTAATGAATTTTTTGATAAATTGTTAATATTTTGATTTTTATAATATTATAGTTGAATTATATAGTTATCAATTTATTTATGTTATTTTTTTTACTGAATGTTATATGAGTGGCAGTATACTGAATAATTTTTTTTTTGACTAGTAAAAATTTTTTTATTATTAATATTATGTAAATATGATTAATAAAAGTTTATTTTTTTTTAGAAATAGATATATTTTATATTAATCTATTATTTTTTATAAGAATTATATTATTTAAAAATTTGTGATTAAATTAAAATAAGTAAATTTTAAAAAAAAAATTTTATAAAAATAAGAGTTTTAAAAAATAAAAACAATTGATAAAAAAAAATAAGTTTTTTCTTATAAAAAATTTTTATTATAACTTGTTTCAAAAATAAAAAATTTTTTAAATATTTTATTGATAATAAAGATGTTTGATTTTTTTTTATTAATAAAGATCAAGTTTTTATTAAAAAGAATTGTAAATAAGAGAGAATAATGATAACAATTCTTAAAGAGACTTTTCAAATTGTTTTAAAGATTAGGAATAAGACCTTATTAATTAAAAAGTTAAAAACTTTTTATATCAATATTTTTTTGCATATAAAAAGGATTAGTAAAAAGAAATTACCAATTAATAAATTGAAATATATTGAATTTCTTTATTATTAAATGTTTTATTATATAGAATTTAATTCAAAAAATCCAAAATGCTATCTAAAAACTTTCAATTAATTTTTAAATAATTTCAAATAAATATTTATTATAGATATAATAAATAATATCAAAAAATTTTTACAATAATTTGACAATTTATTTATAAAATCCATATCAATATTTATTTTTATAAAAAATTGAGCTTAAATAATTCTTTAAAATAATAATATTTTTTAGGTTAAGAGAGTTTTTAAAATAATAAAATTTTTTATTTTAAATACAAATAAAATACAAAATTCCTTAAAGAATAAGCATAGACTCCAAAAGATAAATTCCTTTATGTAATATTAGCAAAAGGTAAAAAATTTTGAAAAGTTACTAAATTCAATAGATTATGAAATTCGTTAACACTTTATTAATAGATTTTTAATAAGCAGTGATTCCTGGATTTCATATAATCCCCGTGTTTTTAGTTGAAAGACAAAATTATCAATACAACTCAAATCACGTGATACCGAATTTTATTTGATGCATTTCTTCCGTTTGGAACGTGCCCTGTTAGAAAAAAAGTTAATACTATGATTTTTATTAAAAAAAAAAAAAAAAATCTACAATGATTAATATGTTAATAAATGTATATTGTATATAAGAATGATAAAATGTAAAAGTTGGTATTTTTGCGATATGGTGATCAATTACAGTAAATGCATACTGTTTTCTCTTCACAATGCACGCATTCAAGCTTATAGGGTTCTAAAAAATATTCTTATAATTATCATAAAATCCTTAAATACGCTTAGTTAGCAGAGGGATTCCTTGTGTTTTCATAACGAAAGGTTTATCAAAATCGAATAGGTTTAACCGGAATGAGTTGTCGACGTTAAAGAGGGTATGAGTATGATTGGCGATTATTATTTTATCCTGGTTGAACGGCTTCCAAAAATCTACATCAAAATATTAATATTAATATTAAAGAATGAAAGGTCTGTCATAAGAGTTGTAAAATACCTTTTAATGTTTCGAATATCAAGCTCAATTGCTTCTCTATCTTTAAGTTCCTCAAGTGGTAAAAAGGCTTCCTAAGATAGAAGTTGAGGTTTTTTAGTTTCTCTTAGACTATATCA